GGAATATATTTAGGAGTATACAGAAGGGAACGCCTCCGGAACAGGCACACCTTTGTCACACCTGGTCCCCAGTGGTTGATGATACTGTCATACGACCCTACCCTTCCATTATGAATAAAACCCGCACCCTAAACCCAGATGTCAATATATCCCAATAACTTTTCCTCTGAGGAGTTGTGAATGAATCTATATGTTACAACAGTTACCTCTGATCACCTCTGAAATCCTTAAAAGATGAAGGGAGGCCAGGGATTCAATTTTGTGATTTCCTTTGTAAAAGAATTACGATTTTCGGACACTTCTGTTCTTACTGCCTTTCTCAACACTGGCCATCATGCTGCTTCGGGGAGATTTTACCTGGCGGTTTGCTAGTTCACATTCTGAGACCTTCTTCTCCGATAAGAATAGCAAATGTACTGGGGACCTGTAGTCAGAGACACCATTCTTCCCGTCACATGTGTGTACTCTTTCCATTAGTGCTGAAAAGGCACTATTTTACTTTCTTTGCAATTATGTTTCATTTCCGACACATAATCTCTTACTCTTGGGTGATAGTTTCCATGTAAGTATGCTGCTATTACCTCTTGTTCAGATAGCTTTCCTTTCCTTAAATTCTTCCTAGAATATATATTGCTTGTCTTTAATTTAAAAAAAAAATCCCAGAAAATTGTTTATTCTAAAATTCACATATTTTCAAGATTAAAATAAGTATGAAAAAATTGTTTCACTGGCTTTGGAAAATACCAAATAAGTAACCATAGGAATCTCAGTAAACATTATACTTACTTCATATTAATAAAATTAATAAAATCACAGTGCTCAGTGGGTAAAGGTGCCTGCAGCCAAACAGCTCGGATTCATACCCGACTGTACTGCTTCCTCCAACTTCTACATATGCGCACGGCACAAGATCCGCCACCCCCCATGAAAAAAGAAAATGTAATTTAAAATATTCAAAACATTAAAAAAAATGTCTCACAGCTTCTCCTTAAAAATGAGAAGTGCAGACGCTGTGGGTGAAGAGCAAAAGAGGTGTTTTGCCTTCTTATTTACTAAAAGTATTTATTTATTTATTTATTTATTTATTTATTTATTTATTTATTTATGTTTTTTAACTTTGGCAGGCTTGTAATTGAGCTCATGGCCTCACACGTGCTAACCGTGGCCCCTAGCACTGGTATATACCTGCAGCTGCTAGGAGTTTTAAATGCCTTCTACAAAAAAATCTCCCCTTCTCTAGATTTTTCTCCCCATAGGCATTAGGGTGACCTTATAAAAATGTTTTTTCTTCTTGTAATACACAAATAACAACCATAAAATTACTCTACATAGCATCTTTATTGTGACTTAGAAGAAATCCAGAGATTTTGCAAATAGTTATAAGACACTAAATATACACGGTCCACTATCAGCCACTAGCTACATGTATCTATTTAACACTGAAACTGTGGTTCATATGAATTATTATGTGCGATAATGTCCTTGAAAAAAACAGTGTCACTAAAAGGAATATAAAACATCTCACTAATAATTTTATACTGATAGCATATTATAATGACATTTTGGATATGTTAATTTGAATAATCATAATAGTTTATTTTTATAGGTGGCTGTTAAACATTTTAATCACATATCTTACATTTGGAGTTCCTATTAGTTCTTTTGTACATTTCTGGATATTTTTTTTTTCAGTAAGCCAACAGCTCCCTCCCATTTCCAAACTCCCCTAGCTTCTGGTGATCTTCAGTAGGCAGTGCTTGTCCCAGAGGCTTGGTGCTGGCCAATTCTCTCTGCCCAAAAGTTCTTCCAAAGCTGTGAGAAGAGGTTTTTAATTTTTTGAATATTTGAAATTATATTTTACTTGTTCACAGGGGTGAGGACAAGGACAAGAAGCAGTAGGTTCTGGGGAGTGAATTCAAGTCATTTGGCTGCAACTAAACTTATGGTTGGTTCCTTTATTTTTGCATATGTTTGATAGAACCATCATAAAGAACTCTGGTATACCACTTTTAAATTGTCACATTCCCATGCACATCACCACTATGGTTCTCTATTTTGAAGACATGGGTAGACGAGCCAGCATGTTTATTTATTTACATATGTTCTTATGTGGCACTGTAGATCTTCCTTAGTAGACTAAAGCTCCATGAAGCAGGAACCTTGTTTCTTTATGTCTGTTTCTTGATAACAACATCAGGTTTGCAAGGGATGTCAAATACTAATAAAATTAATAAAAGAATGAAACATGAAAACAATGCTTGATAAGATGTTTCAATGGTAAAGGCTGCCGGGCCTGATGACCTGAGACTGGTTTCCTGAGACACATACAGTTGAAGGAAAACACACATACACACACACACACACACACACACACACACACACACACGCACACGCACACGCACACACACACTACACACAAGTAAATATAAACACGAGGTGATATGGAAAACTTTGAAGAGATCAGACAGGGGCAAGAACTAACATTTCCTGGGTCTGCAGTGACCTACAGGCTGTACTAAACACATTCAGTGTGCTGGTAAATTCTCACAGAAATGTGATGTTCAGGTGAGACATCTAAAGGGCAAAGGATTTGAAGCAGGTTCCCTAAACCACTCAGGTAGCACTGGGTACTGCTTCAATAATACCTTCATTTTATTACAAAAAGCTCCTTGTGTCTTCCTGATTCCCAAACTGATGTCCTAAAGTACCAGAATACTCTTATAGGACCGAGTTTCTCTACCCTACCTATCAGCACTGTGATACTGTGCACTGGGGTACTATGTTCAACCTAGGGTCCACTGTCAGCACACTAAACTCTGTCTCAGGAGGCAGCAATGATCCAGCTGGAGTCTCCATGTCCAAAGCTGTCCACTTTGACTGGTTGGTATGTAGTAGTGTCTTATACATGCTTGCTAAGCAAACTAATCAATGGAATTAACTTTCTTCTCAATCATTCTAAACAGGCCCCGAGTAGGTTATTTGTGCCTAATGAGAATTAATGGCTTTGTAGGTCAACCCATGAACTGCACCCACTAGAATGAAGAGCAGCTGAGAGCTGTAAGGGCGTGTTTGCTGATGTGTAAGCAGACTTGGTCCTCAACCACGGACCATACGTAATTGGAAACTCTTTGTAAATGTGCTGTCCATCATGGCAGCAGCTGACCACATGGGGACATTTAAACCAGAATTAATTCAAGTTATATAAAACTGAAAATACATTTCCTCGGTCATACTAGCCACATTTCAAGTGCCACAAAATCTTATGTGGTCAACAGCTACCATGAGGGATAAAGAATATTCATTATGGCTAAAGTTCCACGAGATAACACTTGCATGAAAATTTAATTTTTTTTTTTTTTTTTTGGTGAAGATATATTTTTAAGTCAGGACAGTCCTGTATGTTTGGCTAGGTTTGTTTCCTAGCTGAAATACGACATTGAGAAGGAATCTGATCGTCTTCATTCCCATGAGTCTCAGGGCGAGCCTCACATGTGGAAAGGAAAGGAGATTCATTGTCAAACAGAAGCAACCTTTAGTCATCCGGGCTCGTGTACAGCCAGTGACTGGTGTGGAAAGAACCCTCCTGCAATGGCTCCAGTCAGGCTTACTGTTCCAGGGATGCTGCCAGCACGGTGCTCCACAGAGCCATTATGCCTAATGCCATTCAACATCATCCCCGTTGAGGCTGATCTATAAAGCAGAACACCGAAACTGGACAGAAGTCAAAGGTTGGGGACGTCAGACACACCAGACCGTCTACGGTTAGACACACGAATCTGTTCAGAGAACAATTTTGAAATGCCCCCCCCTCGAAAAATGACTTAGCTTCAGATAATTTCTTCTCAATATTGAAGTGATTTTGGCCAATACAATTTAACCATTTTGAGATCCCTCGCCGGAGAGATGAACCGTCTTCTGTCAGTGTCTCGGAATAGGCAAGAACAAAAAAATCACACCTTCTATTTTATTTTATGACTAAGTTCGTCGGGATGATCTCCTTGGTTTGCCTCTTTGAGGTTTTCCGATTTGTTCGCATTTTGTAATCATTTGCCGGTCCTACTTAGTCTTCTTCCCAGACAGAAAATGATTCATGCTTCTTATTTCCACGCAAGAGACTACCAGGAGAGCGGAGGAGGAGGGGACAATCAGGCAGCCCCACATTTCCCAAGTCAACAGGTGGAGCACACTCTTCACAAGTTCTTTGGGGACTGAACAGCCCAGCCCCCTTCCGCGCCCGCCGCCCCCTCTCCCCGCTCCCCAATTCACCTTCATCTCTCCAGGCCTTCGGAACGTGTTTTTACAATCTCAGATTTTTTTTTCAGGCAGCACCAAGTGCTGCTGATGCTCTGGCCCGGAGAGGGTGGGGGAAAGGTGCAGGTAGGGCAGCTAGGCTGGGACTGACCGTTGGTTTCCTGGCAGTGAGCGGAGAGAGAGGGCGCGGCACAGTGGCAAACAGTAAGCGTAGCCACTCAGAACCCAAACCGCCAAAGTGGCTCCTCCGACCCTGAACTGGGCGCAGTGGGAGAGGGTCACACCAGGACGCCACGGTGGGGGACGGGAGCCCACCCACAGTAGTTCGCTCTTGCTGGGGGCTCGGGGATTCTAGCTCCGAGGATCAATCCAACCGGGCAGAGGCACCGGGAGGAGAGCAGCCGAGGCCCGGGAAGCTGGGTCGGGAGGGCGGGGCGGGGGTGGGACGCGACCCAGAGCTGGAGCCAAAGGAGGGGAGACCAGGGGACCGCCGCGCTGGAAGCCGGAGGTGGCCGCACGGGCGGCGTTTTCTTTCCGGAGGGGAGGCTGGCCGAGCCAGGCGCTGGCTGGGGGGCGTCCAAGGGCGGAGGACGGGGAAATACCACGACCCGCGCGCTTCCCCACGCCTGGCAGCCGCGACGCGGGTGGCTCCTCCTTCGGGCCGGTCCCGAGCCCGGCGGCGGGTGGGAGGGAGGCGGGGAGCGAGGGCGGAGGCTCCGGGAGGAGGAGGGACCAGGCGCGCCTGTGACAGGGTGGCAGCCGAGAAGCGGACGCGTTGCCGCCGCCGCTCCTCCTCCTGCAGCTCCTCTCGCGGCCGCCGCGGCCACCTCCGCCGCTGCCGAAGTTTCACTCCCGACCCTCGGCGGGAGCCCCAGCGCGGAGCAGAGCGGCCGGTTCGCCTGGAGCTGCAGCGCACCGCTGGCAGCTCGGCGTGTGGCTAGCCAGCCCGCGTTGGCGCCCAGGCGGCGTTCCTCGGCCCGGGCTGGGGTCACGGAGACCCAGCCGAGGCGGCAGCCAGCCTAGGGGACCCGTGGCATCGCCCACACCGCCCAATCTGCGTCCGAGCCCGGTGCTGCCGCGATGGCCGTGCGCTCCCGCCGCCCGTGGGTGAGCGTGGCGCTGGGGCTGGTCCTGGGCTTCACCGCTGCGTCCTGGCTCATCGCCCCCCGGGTGGCCGAGCTGAGCGAGAGGAGGCGACACGGCTCCAGCCTCTGCTCCTACTACGGCCGCTTGGCCACCGGGCCCCGCGCGGGCGCACAGCAGCCGTTCCCCCAGCCCCAGTCCCGGCCGCGGCTAGAGCAGTCGCCGCCCCCTGCCAACCAGGAGCTCTTGGGGCCGCACCGGCCGGAGGCGGCGCCCGGAGGTCCCAGTTTTCGGAGCAGCCCCTGGCAGCAGCCAGCTCCGCTGCCGCAGAGGAGGCGAGGACACAAGCCCGAAGGTGCGACGGCGCTTCCCGTCGCTCCAGCAGCCAAAGGGGAACCGGAGGAAGAGGATGGGGGCGCGGCTGGCCCTCGGAAGGGTGGCCGGCCAGGGAGCAGCCACAACGGCAGCGGAGACGGGGGCGCCGCTGCCCCGAGCCCCGGTCCCGGAGACTTCCTGTACGTGGGTGTGATGACCGCGCAGAAGTACCTGGGCAGCCGCGCGCTGGCCGCGCAGAGGACCTGGGCGCGCTTCATCCCCGGCCGCGTGGAGTTCTTTTCCAGTCAGCAGCCTCCCAGTGCCGCGCTCGGTCAGCCCCCTCCACCTTTGCCTGTCATCGAGCTGCCGGGGGTCGACGATTCCTACCCTCCCCAGAAGAAGTCCTTCATGATGATCAAGTACATGCACGACCACTACCTGGACAAGTATGAGTGGTTCATGCGCGCCGACGACGATGTCTACATCAAAGGTGACCTCCCAGTGTTAGCTGTCCCCCCCTGCCCACCTCCTGATTCATTTCGCTTCTGTCAACCCCAGCCCCTCCACTGCTTCTCTGCCAGCACCTGAGGGTCTTCTGCAGCCCCCGACTCGCTATCCTCACCCTTAGCATCCTCCCACCATTCTTAGCCTGCTCCTCCTCTTCTGCGGCGTGGACCCTCCTCATACCTGCTCAGCTTTATTCACTTTCCTCGCTCTTGCAGTTGTTCCTTCCGTCTGGCTGGAAAGGTGAAGAAAGGGACCTTAGAGCTAACCCAAAAGCCATTCCCGCCCCTCCCCCAAGTAGGTGATAGTTTCCCAAATGTGTCCAGAGGGGCGTGTCCTGGCTAGAGGCAAGCGAGATGCAGGATGCTGGCTTGAGCAGGACTGGAGATGTCACGTTGTTGCTTTACTCCATTTCTCCTTTGTTTCAGCTTGGTCTAGATCGGTTTTAGAACCGCTGATGTTGAGGATAGCCATCTTTTACTGTCCCAGACCCGTGTTTGAACATTCTGTTGCCTTTAGAAACTTGCCCCACACTGAGACCTTGGATACACCCACTAGCCCAGCGTGCTAGCTGTTCCCCATTCTCTGCCACACTTTAATAAAACCCAGAGGCGGTGAGTGGGGCTCCCCAAAGGTCAGGTGGAGAAGAGAGGTTGAAAGAGCTTTAGATTTATAAAGACCCTGATAGCTGCAAGCTACATCATGCACGCTAAAGGTAGATCCTTTCCAGTTCATGTTGGTGGCTGCAGTGTATGACAGTCTAAAAGAACTACCTAGAACCACATCATGCAGCCACAGCACGAGAAAACTTTGTCAGGGAAGGGGCAGGTGTGTGTGTGTGTGTGTGTGTGTGTGTGTGTGTGTGTGTGTGTGTGTTTTGTTTTTTATAGATTGTCAGAGGTTCTGGTCAGAGAATTTCTAAGCTCAATGGCTCAAAGTTCCTTAGGGTACAGGAGTAAATCTTTTTGGTTCAGAGAGTGGAAAAGGTGGGAAAAGAATCCAAAGACACAGGCTCATCTTGAAGAAGCAATCTGTGCGTCCCATGCTTTCTAACCTCTTGTGCTGCGGAGGGCAGCCCTTCCTCTGTATGTGCTGGCTACTTGGAAAACTATGGCTTCGTCATGATCAAGGTTAATAACCCTTCATATAACATAAGGCCAAGCAAATCCAAAGGTCTTCTTTTGGGACAAGGAATTGACATTAGCAGTTGATGTTCTGAGTTTTGAATTGAGAGGAGCAGAATCACTGTGCTGGTGCCGTTTGAAATGACAGATTTTGATAGTTAAGTGCAAACAAGCCTATTATGACTGCATTCCTCAAATACGGTATTTATGGTTGATTCGGGGAAAAATGCCACTTTCAAAAGTATTGACACTTAAGCTAATTTTGCTTTCTGTTCTTGCTTTGTTGTCCTTGGACTTTAGGATAATTTTCTTCTGTTTCTCATCAAAAATCACAAAAGATTTCCTGGCAAGGGGGTCATGCTTTACAGTGTACATTGATCATACCTACTTCTGCCATTTGTCTTAATTCTTTGAAGCATTGTGCCTCAAATCTTCAAAATGGCATATTCTGTTTCTATTAAAAATGAAAAGTATTTTTTATGAAGAACTCAGTCACAACTTAAAAAATAAAACCTGTTTGAGAGCTAGAGGGTGTGAGATGGGATTGAGATAAGTGGCCACACATGTCCTGTTAATCAAAAACGAGAGTACCAAGGCTGATTAAGAATGTGGAGGTTGACTACTTATTCTGATATATTGCTATATAGAATATCAAATGCTTTGAACTCTTACAGCTACACAGTTTTATTTTAAATCCTTTATTTTGATCAACTTACCACCCACAAGTCAATTTATGGCATTATTTTTATTGTAATGGTTATAACTTTTCCCCTCTAAAGTAATGCCTTCCCAAGTTCAGTTTCAAGATGAAGCTTCATTTAAATGCCCCCTTAAATAATGTAGGTTGTATGTGACTGAAGTTTAACTAATGAGAAGCACCCAACCAAGTCAATTATTATAAAAAACATATAGTTGGATATTGGAGCTATAACAGTAGCTAAGTTGGCAGAGTGCTTGCCTTGGAGGCATCAGACCAGAGTTGCATCCCCAAAAACCACGTGAAAAGAAAAGGTTAGACATGGCAGAATACTCTCTGGGGCTCTCCAGCCTGCCAGTATAGTCTACTTGGTGAGCTCCAGGCAAATTAAAATGACATTGTCTCCAAAAACAAGATCCCTGGAACCAGAAGAACACCTTAAGGCTGAACTCTGACCTCCATGTGCATACATGTGATGTTGCACCTCCTACCTGTAAGGACACAGACACAGATATGCATACAAAGAAAAATATTTATTGGCTATCAAATGATTGCCCAAACAACATAAAACACCAGCATTTGGTATGGTGTTGTATTTCTGGGAACTGTTGTCGCTTCAAATGGACCAACAAATCATCTTTATTCCCTGTATCTTTATCTCACCTCTGCTGCAAATTTGATGACTGTTAGATTTGTTAAAATTGTATTAAGATTTAAGAAATAATCGTAAGTTTGTGTTTTAAAAACTGCGGGAGGGAAAAGTGTTTCTTCTTCCCAGCAGTATGAGGTGTACGAGGAGGTTAAAAGCAATGGCGGAAGTCCTTTCACTCCATGGAACACGGTAATTGCCCGTGAAATGAGGAAAAGAGGTGACTCTTGGTTTTCTCTTTGTAGGTGATAAATTAGAAGAATTCCTTAGGTCCCTAAATAGCAGCAAGCCTCTCTACCTGGGACAGACTGGCCTGGGGAATACAGAAGAACTTGGAAAGCTGGGGCTGGAGCCTGGGGAGAACTTCTGCATGGGAGGACCTGGCATGATCTTCAGCCGAGAAGTTCTCAGGAGGATGGTGCCTCACATTGGCGAATGCCTCCGAGAAATGTACACCACTCACGAGGACGTGGAGGTGGGGCGCTGTGTTCGCCGCTTTGGTGGGACTCAGTGCGTCTGGTCTTATGAGGTAAGCCTGGAGATGTGATGCATATGTGTGTATTACAGGTGCATGCCACTTCACCTCCTGGACCAGAGTCCAATCTCTTCTTGACTTCATTTACTTTAAAAAAAAATCACAGTAGCTGTCTTTATGGATTTGGGAATGATTGTGGGATACATCCTTCTTATTAGACCCAAAACCTCTCTGAGGTTTTGTTGTTAGCATGAGTCTTAACTTTGGGCAGCCTTTTGGTTACATCTCTGCCCGATAAAATTCCCCCTACCCCTATTTGCTTTTTCTGGTGTTTACATGCGTCTCTAACAAGAGAGCTGGTTTTAGTTCCTTCCCCTATAATTTTCATTATTTGGTACTGTCCCGACACTTGTTTTTCTTCTTTATCTACACGATCACAACCCTTTGCTTTCACATGACTAAAATTTGGTTTCCTTGGGAACCTTCAAGTGGGAATTGAACACTTAGTGGGAGGTCAGCATTATGTTATTCATGATAGGTTCATTTCCAACACTTTAAACACTATTTGATAGTGTTTGAGCAATCTGGGGAAATGGCTGAGGATGTCACATAAGTGTGTTTTCACTGTTCTCTGGACTTTATTTATGTCTATTTTGGTGACAATTTATCAAGAGTCAGAATTATTTGAATAATCAGAGGGATAGACTGTTATGACATTGTGACCATTAGCTTTGTGAACTTTTTCCTTTTAGAATTTGACTTTGAAATCAAATGAATTGTCCTTTAAAATAGATTTCCTGAAAGATAATCTTAGTAACAATTGATTTGACGTTTAAATAATACATTGCACTTTTAATGCAGTTTTGTTTTTGGATATTTGGAGTTTAATCTTATTTTACAGTGGACACTTTTTAAAACTGCATTTTAACTTCCTTGTTTATCTTAAAAACATTTCGAAATTTAGTGTAGAGGACATGTTTTATGAAAATATGTTTCATGTGAAATGATTATACATCAAAGTTCCATGGTCCCTTTTACTTTTTTTCTTTCAGGAGTGTATTATCGCTTTAGTTTATTTAGTTTTCTAAACAAAATGTTTTGTGATACAATTCAAGGTGGTATTTTGAATAATTATTACACACAAGGAAGCTTCCTGATAATTATGTATTTGGAATATGTGTTAGGCAAATTTAGATGATTATATAAGTAGTTCCTTCTAATGATGAAATAGCACATTTTATTTTATAAATGTGAAACTGTCCTTTAGCCTTTGCAAACCATTCCTGTAGTTGCGACACTTGCAAACCTGAAGAGGGAGGACTGTGAGCTTGAGGTTAGCCTGAGATGTGTCTTCGGACTGTCTTACAAACAAAACAAGTGACAGTATTTGGAAGAAGATTGAGGAAGCCTTAAAGCTTTTATCACTAAAGGTAACTTCACTGAACTCAATAAAAAAGAATTCTCTCTGCTGTAAAATTAGCTGCGAAAAGGCAACAGATGCTTGATGTATAAACATCTGAGTGAGAACAAAAAGGGAAAACAAGTATTTTTTAATAATTTATTGACTTAAGTTAATAAGTTATCTTTTATTGTTTTCCTTGATTCTGCTATGACCGTCCAGTCTCTACTCAATGCTTTATCTGTTCATGTTCCATGACAGGAAAAGGTGCTTAAGTGATGTGCAAGCTCTCTCGTAGGCTGTACATCTGTGGTATTTCCAGTAACGTTTGCAGTGTGTTTTAAATTGGAATGACACTTGTCCATCACTGACTTCAAAATCTGTATTCATGGATCATTTCACCATTTTGTTCTAGCTCTGAAAAAAAAAAAAGTTTCCTGAATGGAATACTGAGCACCCCCAGGCCTTCATGCAGTGTTTAGCCTGTGGCAGGTTATTATCACATACTGCTTATCATTGTCGCAGAGCTGTACACTGTCCCTAATGGGATCAAATCAGGAGCTGTGTAATGTAACATGGATTCATAAACTTTCCTTACATGACAGTCATTAGTGATGCTGATTCATCTGTATCCAAAGAGTCAAAGTAAAAATTAAAAGCTTCAGTTGCAGAGTCCATGCTTTAACGATTTTTTTGACAAAACATTGGAAAACTGTATTCTGTTTTATTTTAGAAATTATAAAAAAAAATCCAATGATAGTCAACTGACCGTGCAACTCAGAGTGCTTCTAAATTGCATTATAATGTAACCAAATTAAAGGAGAATATGTGGAACATTTTATTTAAATATGCATTGTTCAAGAGTCCTGAACAGGTTAGACTCTATCTACTTAAAGAAAAACAACTGAACTAATTCCTAGATTCATTTCTAGATCTCTGTTCCATTTTCTGTGTTTTTCTTAAAGTCTCAACAGGCAAGGAAGTTAGCGCTGTCTCATTCCACTGTCACTCCCACAAACACCTAGGGACTCTTCTCTTTCTCCCCTTTTATTACAGAAAAACAAAACAAAACAACTTTACTCTCAGAAAATGAAAACTTATATTTACATAAAACCTTCTATGTAAATGTTATAGCAATTATTTGTAATAGCCCCAAACTGCAAACAACCCAAGTGGTCTTCAGTACGTCAGTCTACTTAGTTTTCAGGAACTTATTAAGGCAGCTGGAAACTTTTCTTGCTGTATCTTGGAACTCTGAGAAACTAATGTGTACCTTCAGTACCTAGTAAGCAGATTCTGGTAGTCTGGGGGCATATGTTTGCCAGTGGACCCCTTCTTCTCTTCTCCATATCTACTCCTGAGCCCCTTGTCTTTCATACCACTGCAGAGTGTAGATGGATACTTTCCAGCTTGGGACTGGGACATCATTTTTCAAGTTGTTAATATTCAAGGACTTCCCAGGTGGCTGTTGTCCTCACGCTCGCCTCTGGTTCTGTGTATAGATTGAAGCCTATTAGCAGGTGATTCTGTTGTACTCACTGTGTGCTAGCATCGATCTGCACCTCCTGCTGGCTAAGACCACTTGTCTGGTGGAGCCTTGACTGGGCTGTTGTTGGTCTCTGTTGCTTTAGGAGGCTGCATATGGCTTTCAACATTGCCTTGCCAATGGAGGTTTTCAAGTTTTGTGTTTTTAGTTCTGTTTTGTGATTCCTACAGCAAAGGCAGGCAGTTTTCATTTCCCTTCATGTCTCATTGGACACTAGGATTTTTATTTTTTATGTCTGGCCCAAGCTAACCAAAATAATAAATACCATGTTGTTTTTTGTTGTTGTTGGTTTCTTAAGCCAGACAACCCTTAGGCTACAAATTTTATGAGATTATTTTCCATAATATGAATGGCTTTTGGCAGTAAGGATAAAATTTATATTTTAAATACTTTGTTAGAGGATTATACATAGTAGTTATTAACCCCAAGTCACCAATAATGCATGGGTGACACATTAAGGAAAGAAATAAAAGCACTTCCGTTGGAGTTGATTAAACAAGAACAAGTCCAGAGCTGAATTGTCCACTTCATTCTCCTTGTGTTTGTCTGTTGTAGGAGTCTGAATCTGTGCTCCGTTTGTTATCTGTGTTTGTCTGGTGTATGTGTCTATTCCTAACAAAGGGCTTTGCACTGTTCTTATTGAGCATCATAGAAAGCATCACATGAAGAAGGGATGGGATACTTTACAGAAATTTTTAATAGAGTTTTTACAAGGGATTAAGTCTCTGGTTTCAACTGATCCCAAGTGATTCAAATAAAAAACAGCTTTGTTTATCAACCAATATCCATAAATGGTTGCTTTCTGACTTTATGATAGATTTTAGGGAGTTGTTTTCAGCTTCTGTATCTGCTGCTTTCAGCATATGATGCACGTAAACACATTATCTGGGTTGGGAGCATGGAAGAGTACATAATTTAAGATTACAGCTATATGTAATTTTAGATTGTAATAGTTGTTCACATGGGAACCCCAAGGCAAGTAAGATAGGTTCTTACATTAGTCTCTTAAAAGCAAGTTAAACAAACAGTTTGAGTACATTGTAGGCTAGCAGTCTTAAATAACTTTAAGGTGTATTATTAACTCTGGCTCTGAGGTCCAGAAAAAGTTCCAGTCTCTTAAAATGTTAGTGATGCCTTCATAAAATTGCACTGCTACACTTTGTAAAAGAATCAATATATTTTCGGAAATTTCCATTAAAATTGTGTATCATATATACTTCTATTTTTATTGTAAATAGCTTATTTATATATTTACATTTAGTTATTAGTCTTGAATATTTTTATTTGAGTACTATCACTCATATTTAATCATTAAAATAGTTTTAACTTCAGCAATTATTCTCATCCTGTGAGTTCTGCATTTGAGCACCCAAGATCAATAGAAGAGAGTTAGCTTTTCTCATTTTAAGTTTTGCAGTAAAATAAATTCAACAGAAAGATATATCATTTAACTAAATGATGTTTCAAAAGCCAGTTCTATGTTGGAAAAAAAATTCTGTGGCTTTACAGAACCATTTCCCATGACTAAACAGAATTTTATTTGATTCTTCATAGTTAACGTTATGCCAGAAGTCTGGTGTTCACTTTTGGCTCATTAATGGCTATAAAAACCATAGTGAATTATATTATTTTATGAAAGGATATATTTTGTGAGTTGTTCCTGGGCTTTAAAGTGAAACTAGAGAGCTGAGACATTAGACTGTGTATAAAGTCTTCATAGCATCTTTTAGGTTCAAAATATCTCTGCTATTCCCAACGGGCTGCCCCACATACTTCTTAGCTTCTTCCTGATCTTTGTGAATTGTTATGTCTCCCTGCCTTTCTCCTCTTTTTCTTTGCCTTCATCTTTGTCCTCTCTCCCTCTCCCTCCCCCCGCCTCTCATATGCATGAGTGCGTATAGGTGTGTACACATGAGTATGCCAGCCCCCTCATTTGAATGTCCTTATGTAGAGGCCAGTGGTTGATATTGGTTGTCTTCCTCAGATGTCTGTCACCATATCTATATCTATATCTATATCTATATCTATATCTATATCTATATCTATATCTATACTTTTTTTTTTTTTTTTTTGGTTTTTCGAGACAAGGTTTCTCCGTGTAGTTTTGGT